CACAACAGGGAGGGGGAGAGGCTGGGGAACCTGGGCACTGCCCTCTAGCAGATTCAGGTTCCCCTCCCACACACGCCCCTCCCACTCTACAGGCCACCTCTGATCTTACCACGGAAACCGTGGATGCAAAGGGTGCGTCCACACTGAGTACAATCTGGGGAGGGGTTTAACTTCCTCAAAAAGAAAACAAAACAACCTTAGTCTGGCCCTGCAGAAACATCCCAGGGATGGAGGAGAAGCAGCAGCACAAGGCTGGGAACGCTGTGGCCAGTCCAGGCCTGGGGAGTGGGGTCTTTCACTCTCTGCATGCACCTGGTATCCACCTTCCCCTGTGCGCATCTGGTCGACCTTCTGGCCTTTCTGAGCCGCAGGTTCCCCCAGCACTTGCCCGGTCTATCACCCTCCCAGCACTGATCTAATATTGCAATTAAACCAGAAAGGAGAAACCCTCACATCACAAGAGGTCCACTCCTCGTGAAACGGCTGCCCGGGAGGCGGAGCTCATTCTCCATGAGCCTCAAGTGCCCTGGGAAGGGCTTGTCCACAATGGTACCGTTTTATGAATGACTTTAGGACCAGCTGGCTACTGTGAGCTCCTCCCCCACCCCGTACACGTCTGGATCATTTCACAGCCACCCGCAGAGATGCAGTCTTAATTTCTGCTGGGAGGAACGTGCAGCTCGGAGGCATGAAAGGACTCATCCAAGACCAGGTAGCTAATGAGGGACAGAGAAAAAATCCGAATCTAGCACCCAGGTCGAAATAAAACGGAAGCAAAGGAATCGGCGGTGCTGCTAATTCAACAAAAATTAGCAATAGAAGGCACATTGACAGCAGGCCTTCATGTAACACGGGTGCCATGCGTGTATCATGTCTTCACAGGCGCTTGGGGGAAACTGGACTGATGGCCCTGACCGTTCTACCAAGAACATGTTCATGGGCGGTCATGGGTTCGGTTACAGATGGTCCAGCATTGGAAATCCACACGTAAGGAGTCAGCACACAGGCCGGCCTCGTTCTGAACCCAGTGGGGCTTAGCAGACTTCACTCTATAATGCTTTCCCCTTCAGTCTCTTGCAAGAGCATCAGACAGTAAGAGGCACATCCTTGAGAGAGAGAAGACCATGCACAAAAGAGGGGGCCTGCTGATTTGAAGCTTAATAAAGTAGTACTTCCAAAAGCCTCTTCTGTGTTTTTCCCCCCAAAGGACCAATGCGTAAAGGACCAGAAAACAGACATAGTCCCCATCCTTCAATGTTTCAAAAGCCTTTCAATTTAATCCCATTGTTTTCTCACACGCCAGGCGTTGTCAGGAGAGGCATAGACTCTAGTCCTATTGAAACACCTACTGCGGAGGTCATATTGGTTAGGATGCATGGTGAGGGTTGCCAGGAGCACGGGCCCTGTGAGGTCCCAGGCTGCTGTCCCCCTCAAAACACAGGCAGCTTGCTTCATGCAGGCCACTGTGCAGACCGACAAAGAGAAACTCTGCCACAAAACTCTACAGCAGCGGGGACACGCGGAGGGAGAAATTCGCGGAGTGACAAAACCAGTCTCCTCTGAAATTGAGAGATTCGAAAGCAAAACAAAGAGGAAGGCTACAAGGCACTATTCCTCTTTCACAAAAAGTTGACAGCTGGCTGGAGAGAAAGTTCTTATCAGCTACTGATGAGAACATTTGGAATGTCCTTGAACATGACAGTGACCTTCTCAGAACTGCCCAGACAGAGACACTTGTCATGCCAGGAACGGCCAGGTCCTCCAGGACTTCAGCGCGGTGGGGGCAGGGAAAGAGCTCTGGAGTGAAATGATAGGATTTCCAGGCCTGCTCCAGCAGCGTGCTGGCTGTATGACCTTGAGCAAGGTCACTTAACTCCTGTGCACCCTAGTCACCGTGCCCAGCAGAGGAGGAGCTACCATTCTCCCTGCTGCAGGGCTGCATGGGCTCAGATCCTGTCAGACAGGTCGGGGACAGGTGATGAGCAGTTTCCTCCCTGTCACTGCTGCTTCCTTTTTCCGAAGATAATGCTCTCTAGAGTTAAAAAGGATTCGCTTTGACATGCTTACTCCAGTGACGTATTCTGGTTTCACATTCACATGGGATACTTCTTTCCAGATTTTTCTAGAAAGGGTCATGCTCTTTTACAAAAGTCAAACTCAGCTCCAAACTCAAAGTCCTTGTGTTGGAAGCTTCCAACGTCTTGGGATTTCTTCCTTAGGCCCTGGGACGTCAAGGATTTCAGCTTTGTCACCATACACTCCTGGGCACTCTTAACTTCCCCTAAAGGACAAGCTGGGCCTGGAGGAAAAGGCCTTCAACAGCAAATGTGAGGTGTGACTCAGTCCCGCTTGCTTCCAGCCAGCTATGGTCACTGAGGCCAGCATTCTCACCTTGGGGTTCTGATTCCAGGCAGCAACAGGAGAGGACTGAAGGATGGCCCCTCGGGAGACCCTCGAGTCCACATGTGCTCCCATGTTCTGTGACCTAGAGATGTCCACCCTACTATGACTCACTTCATAAACACGGAGTTACCATGCGTACGCTCTCAGGGGACACACCACCCTGTATATGCGCTGGTGCCTGAAATTCCTCTCAAAAGAGCACAATCAAAGGGGACATTTAAAAACTTGGATCCCTGCCAGAAAGGGCATTCGTTGCCCTTATTCCCTGTGGCAGGCAAATGAATTTCTTGAGAGCAGATTTAATAGAGAATATGTCCTCACTTCTGCTCTTTCTAGCCAATAACTTCAAGACTTCACACGAGGTTTTGAAGTTTTCCTCCATCAAATGAAATGATGGTACCCACTGTACCCCCATTCACAGAGAGAATTAAGTAAGGTCAACAATAACCTCATACTAGGTCTTTAAAGTGGTCCCAAACAACCACCTCATATTTTTGTAGTTATGGTTATTACATTTCCAAGAAAGGTGGAATGCAGAAGGACAAAGAAAGCATCTTTGGCAGTATTCTGCTGGGGGTCAAGTATCTATTTAACTTCCAATGAGAATTTTCAAAGAAGCAGACACCTGATGTTGTAACTCAGAAGACCTCAGAACCAATAAAACAGAGCCAGGACAATACAGGGAAAAGAAACTTGAGGCCAGGAGGGAGGCCAGGAGGAAGGAACCAAACTAAAAGATCATAGAGAGCATTAAAGGTGAAACCAGGATAATAACCAGAGTCTGCAGGCTCCAAGGGCAGGTCCATCTGGGCCAAAGAAGAGAAAAGGTGTCACCCCACACTCGAGATCTTAGAATAGCTCCCTCTTCTCCATTTATTAGTAAGGATGCAAACCATGCACTATCAAAGACCAGGCTATTAGCTGTCACGATGCCTAAGACACTTGTATATGAGAAAAAAATATGGAACATAACCAATCTCTGCAGCCAGCAGCTCTCTGCACTTTCTATACTCAGTTGCATTATAAATTGTCATCAAATTATTTCATTTGGGTTAAGTAACCACAGACCCTTTACCTTTGCTAATCCCAAAATGCTTCCCAGATATTTGCTTCCCAATTAGCATTAACCATAAAATGAAAAAAAAAACAAAAACAAAAACAAAAACAAAACAAACAAAAACAAAAGCAAAAATCAAAGCAAACACCACGAGATCTCATTATATGTCTATTCTATAGGGTATCATTCTATAGGACAATAATCGATAGCCTAAAATATCACAGGCCATTGGGCTACACGGCACAGTAAGTGGCAGGCAGAAAGGGCTGACTGTCAGATCTGCACCAGACACATAAAAGATACTCCAGATTTAAAAAAAAAAAAAAAAAAAAAGTACTCCAGATATATTTGTTGAGTGAATGAATGAATGACGTGCACTGGCTTTGCACTCAGATGGTCCTTAATAGCTTCGTGACCACAGATCTCCACTTCACGAACCACTTTCCTAGGAGGAGCCGAGGATACCCAAGGCCGTCATGGTAATTCCACGACCCACGTGGGTGGAAACTCTAGAACAATTTTTGGAGTAGTCAGCAGTGAATGTAAATCACTTGCCTCCACGCCTCTAAAAAAGCAGATGCTTCAGAAGAAAAGGAGTGGCTCGGAAGAGTTTTACAGTCAAAGTCAGCTGGAAGAGAAAGCAGGCCCCAGTGGGTTTGCTCAACAGAATGTCACGAGTGAATGGAAGAACCATGAATGGAACCCAGATGCCCAGCGTCCTGTCCTGTTGTCTCCTGCAATAACACAGACCTTCACATCACTGTGTTCGTGTATTGGCAGCTCCCTTACCTGCAACACCAGTCCTTCCCACATCGTCCGTAATAAACTCACCTTTCTAGGGAGGTCCAAAACACCTCTTCTATAAATACTTTCTTGACTTCCAAGTCCTACTTAGAGTGGACATCCCAGCCCCCAGGTCCCATCTGACCCCGTACATAATCTCCATTGAGGGCTTGGAACATTCCTTTGTAGGTGAGTTGACTCTCTAATGCACCCTGATATTCACAGTACTGAGAAATGTGAGGAAAGCACGCACAGTTTATCCGTGCGTACTCACACACTGGGGAAACATCTATTGAGTGAAGGAATGAACGAATGAATTAGAAAGGACTGATGCCAGGCACGGAGCGTTCTCAAGGCAGGATTATTTCCAAAGCAAAATTGTCCCTTTTCTCATATTAAAAATGTCACACCGGCTTGCAGCCACCTTCACAATTCACGACACCAAAAAAACAAAAAACAAACAAGCAAACAAACAAACAAACAAAAAAAACCACAAAGAAAACAAACAAAACAAAACCCTAATCAGGCTATCCTGGCGCCCGAGCTCTGACATTCACTAACACCACTGGAATAGCGGCAACTTGGTTTCCCAGGGCACTTTAAGACATCACAATAATGCATTCACCTCCCTCTGTCCTCCCATCCTTCCTTCTCACTTGGACGGCAGGCAGCAAAAAAATGTCCATTCCAACCTCTCAAGCAAGCTACTCCTGAGCAGCCCGTCAGAGTACCAGCTCTGGACACGAGTGACACTCACCTTTCTTCGTCCTTAAAGATGAATTTGCGCAGCTTTAGATCCCGCAGCACCAGCCCCCCATCGTGGCAGTGGGCCACGGCCGAGGCGATCTGGTAGAACAGTCTGGCTGCCTCCTCCTCCCTCAGCTTCTTGCAGGTGCGGACAAATGAATGCATGTCCCCATAGCTTCGCTCAAAGAACACATAGGCTTTGGTCTCTCCCAGGATGATTTCGGTGATTTGGTTGATGTTGCTGTGGGCAGACAGGCAAAAGCACGGGGCCAGGGATTCCTGGTAGCAGCTTATATCGAACACCTAGGACAGGATTCACAACAAGACCAAGAGTCAGGGGTGCCTCTTAAACCACCGAATCACAGAATGGCACAGGCTTTTGAGGAGATAGAAGGCAGACCGAACTTGGGACACAGACCACACTGGCCCTGCCTGCTCCCAGCTGTGTAATGTTGGATAAGCTGCTTGACCTCTCTGAGCTTCCAAGTCTTCATGTGTAAAATGGGCAAACGACACTTGACTTACACCGTTGGGAGGATTATAGGACAACATGGGGGCAAAAGCACTTTGCAAGATGTAACATGGGACACAAAGGGTTAAGTCTTACTATTTTTTTCTCTCTACCCCCATCACCTGTTTATAAAAAACACTAAGGAAAAATCTAAAAGTGACCTACCCCAAGCTACACAGACAAAGCCTTGTTTTCCTTCCAAAAAACAAAACAGAACAGAGACGGACATCACTATACAACTACAGCAATTGTGTACAACATATTTTATGGTATGCAATTGTGTCGTATAGCACTCCACAACATATTAGCAATTCACAGAGTAAATACGTAGTCTTTGCCTTACGGTCCTCTAATTCAATACCTTCATTTCACAGGTGTGGATATCGAGGCTCAGAGAACAAGTCGAATGGAGCCCCAGCGGCCGAGCTAGGAATAGGGCACATGGTCCTTAATAGGGAAGCAGACACGTTTCTCGATTCCCTCCACAGCTATCTAGCTCAATGAATCAGTTATGCAATGATTTTCTATGAATCAAAATTAGCCTGCGAAATGCCACCTCATTGTGGGGTTATTTAAAGAGAAAATCCATCCTCAACACCCTTTTGAAACCAACCTAAGAGGAATTAACACTGCAGAGAATCTTTGAGGTTATAAGAAAAAAGGCTTTCATTCATTTCAAGACCTCCACTAAATCAGGAAAATCCTGGGTTTGGAATGTGGTTTCACTCTCTGCCTGGGAATGGAGGCACATGACTCTCTTCTGTGCCTGCACGAGTGAGGGGCAGGCACGAGGTGCTTTGCTGGAAAGCCCTACAGGCCAAGAATGCCCAGGCAACAAACACTTAAACGGTCCCCGTGCACCACCATTTAGCTTCTTAAATCTTTGTCATTAGTTGGAACATCCTCTCCCTCATCCTTAATTCGCAGCCTGGCCTAGAAATCGCCCAACTGAGACTCTAATCCTGGCGTGGCCACCAATAATCCGGATAAGATGGATAAAGCACTCAGTGTCCCTGGGCCTCCCTCCTCTTCCTAACTGGAGATGTGATTTCGAACCCGGTTGACCTTTTTGGGTCCGGAGCCCACGTGGGAACCTGAGAAAAGCTCTGTCCCCTCTCCGAGGACAATGCCCATTCTCCAAGGCACGCACAATACTGGATTCATTTTCGAGGGATTCACAGGCCTTCAGAAACCCTTCCAGGGACGCAGGCTGCCATCTGAGAGCCAGGATTGAAGAGAAGTGGCCCTCAGGTTCAAAAGCTTGAAGGTATCTGTGAGTCAAACGAGGATAGTAAGAACCTCAGGAGGGCTGGTGCTAACCCAGGGCGAGGAAGCAAAGTAACATTGTGAATGAACCATAATGAGGCATCTCAGGAAGGCGGCACAGCTGCTGCCACTATAACCTAGAATTTAAGAATGAATACTTCAACGTCTCTGGAGACCACAAATCACACCGTGATACTGTCAAATGATGACCTACGAGCCGTGACCTCAGAGGTCCGTTCAATTAGGAATCTGAAATGCCTGAGTCAACTCTAACACCCAGACTGCGGGCAGCAGAAACATAGGAAAGCCTCAAAAATTTCACAGAGAGTAATAAACGTTTTGCAGTGGCTAATGTCAACACGCTGTGTTATATAACGGGGGAGGAGGTTGATGTGTTCTGGAGCACCAGGCTGCAGACTCTCTCTCCAGTGCTCCTGGAGTTACCATGACTTATCATATACTTCCTCCTTCAAGTTGCGTTTAAAAAAAAATAAAAGGTGGTTTTTACTCAGCACCTTCAGTCTGCTATTCTGTCCCACTGATGAAAAACTGAATGGACATAAACATTAAAAGAAATAATAATAATTCATGGCAGCTTCAAGAAATAGCCAGTACCCACTGTAGAAGATCAAATTCCAAGATGGTGGACAGAGTATGAAAAATTAAACAAATACTTCTGTTATCCCTAATGGGTAGGTACCAAACTTTCAGTAGCAGCTGTAACAGGCATTTATGGGGTTGGACTGGTATTTAAACCATCACCTTCAAATGCAAAATCAAGCCATAAGCCTGGTTGCCAGCTTCTTTTAAATGTTTAATTTGGAGCCTTAGTAATATAATCTGGCAGTTGAGATAAGGCAGTAAGATTAGGCCATCATTAGTAGCATTTGCAAAAACAAAAAAATAAACAAAAAAAACAAAAAGCAAAACCACGTGCCCATTATGCCAAGATAGTAATTATGTCCATGGGCACAGTAGCTCCCAGCATTTTCATAAAAAGGATAAGGTAAAGACCATCTAAAGCTGCCTTCCTTCATTTGCCTAGCTTACAGTGGGCTCGGGGAGACAATGAACAGGCTTGATTATCTTGGTTAAATGACCCCAAATAGTGTCCTGTAGAATTTCCTTCTACTGTCCTCTACAGGAATGGCATCTTTACATTTGGTCTGTTTTTGCAAAGCCTTTTTCCTTGGGTCAACACAGAGCTAGGAGACAGGAGCTCTGTATTCTGAGACATCAAAAGGAACTTGATTCAACGTGTAGATTTCACAGTGCCTTGCAGTAAGTGGAGTTCACGCTGTGTATCTGAGGGAAGCTCCTGGAAGCAGCCTCATAAAAACCCCTTGGAGCTTCCTAGGATATACACAGCTATGCCTGCATACAAAGTCACCCACCCACGTCACCCCTGGTAAAAAGGCAGGAAAACAGGCCGCCGTGTCTTAAAGGGATGACCTCTGCCAAGCAGAACAATGATACTGCACTTAAACCCACTGGCAGCCCCACAGTAATTGGTGAGGGGCTGATTCACTCTTTGCAATAACTAAACCGGCAGATTAAGTACAGTTTCAGGCCAAAGAGCACGTCTACGAATGACACCGAGAGGTCAGCCCCAAGTGAAATATGTCTTGAAGAATCTGGAGGGAGAAAGAAAGAGCCAGGGCAGGTCGCCCTGCCTTTAAACAAACAAAAAAAAATACCAGCAAGATGCTCCTGCAGAATGTGAAGGCAGAGTCCCTCTACTTAAAAGTGTCTCCAGCCTTGGAGAAATACTAAAATGCTATACCCAAGTTAAGCAAAAGGAGGGAACACACTCACTGCTGGGGGACTGTGCGTATATCATAGGAGAGTAGCAGCTCTGTGGAATTCATTCATTTCAAAGGACGACTCCCCTATTGTGCAACCTTCTAGGTCTTTGGAGAATTCAATCCAGCTCGTAATAGCCTGCTGAATTTTGGTTAACCGGGCACAGTTGCTCACTCAGGGTCTCAGTAACTTAGGAGAAGATGCAAAATACCAAATGCTCCGGAGAAGTGGAGGGCTGTATTTAAAGCGCCTCTGATTTTCCCAAGGTCTGAACTGAGGAATTGCAAAACTGACTGAAGACCTCCACAAAACACATTATTTACAATGAAAGACTCCAGCCCCCTACAAAATAAAGCAATCTGTGGTTAATGGTAAAAGTGCAATGTATTATTTGTAGCATAGCTGTGCGGGGCTCCTCACTCCTCACTACCCCCTGAAACCGCCCCCCCCCAAGAAAAACCAAGAGTGACCAAATGTAAAATTAACTGATAATGAATTCTTGATCTATGACCAATGTCTGGGGAGCAGTATGCTCTACTCTATCCTTTTTCCTTCTTTTTTTTTTTTTTCCCCACTGTTTCCCTTCTCATCCCCTCATCTGGAGTGCGCACACACAAAGACACACAGACACACCAGTCCCTGTTGGGGGTCAAAGACAAAAAGGAAACTGAAGTGTCCATCTCTGTATTAGCACTGCTAATCCCTGGGGCTCCAAACGCTGGCCTATAAACCATCCTGGCAAAGGTGTGTGCTGGGGGTGGAGGGCACGAGGGGGGTGTTCAGGCCCGGAAGTCTGGAGATGAGAAGAAACGAGACAAGAGAGGAGGACCTAGAGGACTCACTCTTTCCTACACCCAAAGGTGCGCCTGTGGCTTTGATTTCCACCCCCAAATCTCCTTTCAAGGCTGCAGGCAGCAGAGAGCTCTTTGTAAACTCCTTCCCCGCGCTGGGCCCCTGGCTCAGCCAGAGGGGACACCTTTGTGTGTCTCTTTTAAAGGGCACCTTCCAAACAAAGGTTTAACACCTGCACGCTTCTAAGAACAATGGCTGCGAAAGGAACCCAGTCATCAGTGCCTTAAAATTAGCGGGGGATTCCCTACTCCACGGTGGAAGAGGAGGGGGCTGGCTAGACCCAAGGAGAAACCCCTCGGGCAGCGGAACCCGGCCCTGAGCTTAGACGCTCCACGAGCCTTTGGGAGAACGCGTGTGCTTGGCCCCCGCGCAGTCCCGACCCCAGGCTCTCCCCGAAACGCCCCCGCCGCAGCCCGCCCCATTGTCTGCAACGCACTAAAAACTTCGCAACTAGTCGAACGTGAACAAATAAATAAACCCATTTAACGAGGCCACAGATAATTATCCCGCGAGTCTCCCTCCTCCAGGCTCCGGAGCTTGGCGACCTCCCGCCCCCTCCAAACGGCCGGCCGGGGAAACCTTTTTAAAAAACAAAAAGCGAAAACAAGCCCCGGGCTCTTTACCTTGCACACCAGCTCCTCCGCACTGTGCAGATGCACGGCACGAAAAACGTGGTCTCCCTCCAGAGGTTCCAACAATAAGTATTTCCCGATGCAAGAAACGCAATGCGACAAGTTCGGAGTCTCGGGCGGGCTCGGGGAGCCGAGGTTCGGGCTGAAACTCTGGCTGGGTTCGGCGGACCTTATAGACGACAACTCCTCGAAATCCTGGGTTTTGTTCCGCGATCTCCCATATCTTGCTATTGTGATGGGGGTAGACCTGTGTATGTTCATGAGTGTGGGGATCGCGCTCGGCAAACAAAAAACCCGCTGGAGAGATAAGTCGCCGGCGAGCGCGGCTGCAGGCGCCTCCGTGCCACGGATTTTAAAACGGAACGAGAGGGGAGGGGACGGGAAGGGGGCTACGTGGAGAAAAGAGTTGGAAGCCCCCAGATGGGCGCCGCCAGGCACCTTGTCGGCTCCGAGCCCGGCTCCCGGGGGTGCTCAGTCGGCAGTAATTCGGGTCCTTTTGTTACCCCAAAGCAGCCGGCGATTTGCAGAATCTCCGCACTTTTAGTTTCTCTCTCTTTCTTTCTTTCCAGCGCGGATCTAGACGAGCGACCAGATTGCTAAGGTGGGGAGCTGCAGCGCCAGGTCTCCCGAAGCGATCCCCACGCAGGCTTCCGAATCGCAGACGGGGCGGGGGAGCCCTGCTGTAGTTTACGTGATCTTCGAGCCGCGCGCGGCCGCAGCTCGGTCTCCACGCGTTAGAAACCAAACAAAAAGAAAAAGGAAATAAGCACGGGGCTACCGGCTCGCGCCGCACGGCAGACAGAATCCGCGCTGCACCCCCTTTTTTGGTGGAAAGGGTGGGGGGCGTGGAAGGGGGGGGACGCCGGAGAGGGTAGTTACCTACGTTTTAACTGTAGATGGCGTCTGAGGCTTTTCCAAGGATCGCAAGAGCTCTCCAAAATTTAAACAAACAGACAAAAAAAAAAGGGGGGGGGAGAAAAAAAAAAAAAAAGAATAGCAAATGAGCATTTAACTTAGAGCGGTCAGCGCTGCCAACAAAAGATTGCAAAAGCTGGGCACAGAGTTGCGGCGCGGGCCGGGCGCAGGTACCGCGACAAAGCCCAGGTTGGCCCGCCGGGCGGAGGTCAGCACAGGCTCATGCTGCCGCTGCTCGCTCGTGCTCCAGATCGTCCTCCGAATAAAGCGAGAACTGCGGCCAGGGACGAGGGTAGATCCGTGGTCTCCGATGCCCCCGGCACGAGCTTCCGGGGGGGTGGGGGTTCCTCCGGGCGCTGGAAGGGGATGAGCCCCCAGCCAACCTGCGGCGTTCCTTTCCCGCTGGATAACTGGATCTTGCCTTGGAATAATTTACAACCACTCCGTCTCCCCCGACCCTAAACCTAAATTGCCCGGTGGGGTTTGTTTTGGAAAAAATTGATGGCTTTTCTTCTTCGTCTTTTTTTTTTTTCTTTCTTTCTTCCCCAGAGGTGAGAAGAATGTGTATTTAAAATTGAAGGGGATGGCCGATGGTGCCCGAGGCCAATCCCCGAGCTCAGCACGCCCGCAACTCCCGGCGAGGCGGTATTAATAGTTACTTACGTGGCCGGGGATCTCGGAGCGAGCCGGGCCCTGTGTGCGCGTGTGTGCGCGCGCGCGCCTCGCTCGCGCTCCGTCTCCCCATTCAATGTCACCGACACATTTCCACGGAGCCTCCGCCCCCCCGCGGCACCCGCGACTGGCTCAGCCCAGGGCCGGCCCCGCCCCACCCCCGCCCGGGCCCCCCTCATTGAGCCGGGCGGCCATCAATCAGCCCCGCCGCTGCCAGTCCTCGGGCTGCTCCCCCGCGCCCGCCGGCCGCTGCCACTGCCTTTGCAGCTCCCGGTCCCGGCGCGGGCGCGGGCGCCGGCCTCACCGCTCCCGGGCTCGGCAGCCGCGCAATATCCTTCCGCGGCCGGGCTGGGAGAGAGCGCACCCGCGACCCGGAGGGAGGGTCGCGGCACCTCTGCAGGCCTTAGACTGCGCGCCCCGCCACAGCGGCTGAGCGGGAGTGGCGGGGCCGCAGCTGCCCACGCGTCTCCCCGGAGCGGCTCCATCGGTGCTCAGCGTACTTCTGGGTACCTAGTTCCTCTTCCTGGCACGTTTCCCCGGAAAGCCGGGCATCCTGAGAGCATCGGGCCACTGCGCTTCTGATGCTGCTCGGAGCCAGGAGCCTTTCCCTGCTGGTGATCCCTTGCATCCGCGGTGCTGCCTGTAGTTTCAGAAAGTAGTTTCATTATCTTTCCCCAACACTCACGTCCCCATTTAAAAAGAAAACAGTTGCTTGCTTTGGGTTGATATCGCCCTCATGTTACCACCTCCCTACCCCTCCACTCTCCACCATCGGGGCTTTGGGTGTTTTCAGCTTGAAGACACCTTTGACTCAGACCGAATTTAATCACTAATACTTCTCCTGTCAGGGCAGTGCCCAGAGGACCTTGGTGGTCCAGTGAAACAGACACCTGCATGCACGCTTTCAAGTGCTCTTGGCTCCCACCAAGCGCGGGGGCTGTGCAAGATCTCTTCCGTTATCCACCCCCATTCCGTTCCCCCACCCCGGTGCACACAACTACAACAAACGCATTCAACGTTGAGAATCAGGTGCAGTTTCACAGGCCGCCCCTTCTGGTCAATTTTTCTCAACTTTCTAGGGAGGCTCCAGTCCTCTGGTTTGGGCAGAAGCACCCCAGGCCAAGGTCTTGAACTCCTCCAGAGGCTTGGGTCTCAAGGCCTGAAACTAGTATATCTTGGGAAACCAGAAGCAATGCGGTTGGGGATGAACATCTTTAAAAAAAAAAAAAAAAAAAAAAGGAAAGAAAGAAGCAGAAAAGAAAGAAAAAAGCAAGGGACTGGGAAAGGTGATTTAAAAAATTCTTGGAGTCCTCTGAGCTTCTATATGGATGTATCCATATTTTCTAATACAGGAGGGACAGGGGACCATACAATTTATTGTCCACGGTAGGACTGTTTTGAGTAGAAAGGGGACCTATTATAATTATGTGCAGCTGAGTTACTCTAGAGATAAGAAGTTCCTGGAAGTTGGCCAGAGAGGACATTGAGGAGTATACAGAAGGCCACCACAGGGCCAGAGTTTGAAAAGAAGGTCAGGAAATGGCTTTATGGGTCCTGGCACTTCTCACCATCGTAGTGCTCTCGAAAACCTACCTAGGACTCTGTCCCTGGCCCCATGGGAGTTCATGAGTTCCCGCAGACTATCACCGTGACTGCCAAGCAGAGTCCTTTAATCCAGTTCTGTCGCCTGAAGACACTCAAGTGTTTGTGTCCATCTCGGGAGCAGACCTGAAGCAGCCTCTGCAGATGGGTCAGAAAGACATTGGCCTCCTCTGTGACAGTGGCCACCAAGACTGCTTTATTATAACTAGGGGCTGGGAGCATTGTCCCAGTCCCATCTGGGCCTCTGATTTCAAATGAAAATTGAGTCAAGACTTTTTTCCTCCCTGGGTCCCTGTTTCTTCAACTGTAAAATGAGAAGCGTAACACCCGCCCTGCTCAGCTCACGTGATTGCTTTAGAATTATATTTTCAATACCAGGAAATCTATGCAGACTTACTATAAGCCAGGCCCTGTGCTGGTTGTTAAGGACCCACATATGAGTAAGATTTGGTCTCTGCCACCCAGGAGCTCAGAGTCTAACCCCAGAGAAGGCATGGAAATACATCATTTCATTGCATAACAATGTGGCAATTAGAATATCAGGGGAGCATACAGGAAGAAACAACTTTTCCTGGACTTTAGGGAGTTTTCCCAGAAAATGTAATTCCTTTTTTTTTTTTTTTTTTTTTTACCTTGAACTAATCCAGAGCAAATATTTACTGAAACCTACTATGTGCCAGACACTGGGTATGGAGAAAAATATATATGTGCTGTCTTGGTGGGCCTTGGAAAAATTCTATGAGCCATAAGATAACATGAATAAGAGATCCTCGTGGACATTTCAGGCAGAAAGAAAAATGTGCAGAAGCAAAGGAGTGGGATCCTCTGAAATTTCTAGTTGACTCACCACGCTTCAGTATTGGCAGTTTGGGAGCAGTGGCCAGGCCTGCAGCTGGCCAGATGGGTTGAAATTAGAATGGAAAGGGACTGGAAGGCCATCTAGAGACCATGCTCTTCTTGGTAGAGGAGATACAGCGTCAAATCTGGCGTTAAACTGGGAAGTGGCGGGGTCTGATTGGGGTTTTAGAAAAATCAGGCTGCAGATCATGTGCATGCTTTCCAGAACATTCTAGCGAGTTTCCCGGGAAAGAGAGAGCTCTGTAGCTAGAGATATCAAGAAAATTATAAACTGATAGTGTTGTGTAACTGATGCTTACATGGCTGATGGTGTATTTATTACTTCTGATGTGAAGTATGCAGTGACTACTTCCTCCTCATTCTCCAAGGCCAGGTTCATGTCCTTTGCAAGCTACTGCCATACACGGTAAATTAGATAATTATACCAAGTGCCTTCAACATTCTTATGCTTATTAACAGTCATCCTGGTCAGATTGGAAAAGCAAGTAGTGGGAAGATCTAGGTGGGACTTCTCATTCATGCACTATTTAGTCAGATGGCCTTGGATGAATTTAGAATATCTTAATTATACAGTAAAATTATTATCTGAATTTTACCTAACACATGAAAATTATGGAAGATGTGTATAAGGCAACAAGCATAATGTCTTGCATGTAGTAGAAATAGTCATTATTATTATTATTATTCCTACTTTTATTATGATTAGAATATACATCTGCAGAGCAATCCAGCATGCAATGATTCATAATAATAATAATAGATAGGGGTGCCTGCATGGCTCCGTCAGTTAAACGTCTGCCGTCAGCTCAGGTCATGATCTCAGAGTCCTGGGATCCAGCCCCTGATTGGGCTCCCTGCTCAGGGGGGAGTCTGCTTCTCCCTCTCTCTGTGCCCCTCCCGGCTGCTCAAGCTCTCTCTCTCAAATAAATAAATAAAGTCTTCTTAAAAATGGGAGTAATTGATAAAATAGATAAAATGCTTAGAGTATCAGTAAGATGTGTGGGAGTGGTTAAACATACAGAGGTAGGAATGGCTACATACCATATGTAGCTATGATTAAAAAAAAAATGCAGCAATTAGAGAAGGGAGGCCCATTTTAACCCATCTACTTTAATCCAGACTGGATCAATCCAGTTGTCTTACTTTATTAGCCTGCTGTGCATGCTTTCCAGAATATTCTCCATTTTGCAATGAATTTAACTGCTCACTCCTTTACGTCAAGGCTCATTAGTTCATCCATTCAGTAAGCACATAGTAGTAAGTACCTGCTAGGTGTGAATTCCTAAGCTAAGGGCTGTGTTTATTGATTAGATAAATGGTTTTTGAAAACAATTTCTAAGATAGATGACTGTATCACTTCAAGTCTACCAAAGGTGATGACCTTCAGCTTTCTTAAGCAGCTCTTACAGCAAACCCCAGCTAGGCTCAAAAATTTGTGACCAACTTCCAGGACAAATTGTAGAGAATGCACCTTATGCCAATGTTCAGACTGTGGACCCCATGACTTCAGAACAGTCTGTTTCCATTGAGGTCTCTGTAAATGAGAGCCCTGGAGGCATACAGAGCAGTTTTCCCGGCTGGATGTGGAGTGTGGAGTTTAGACTCATGGGACTGGAATTCAAGAAGTTGACCACTTTATCTCCTACTCTCATCTGTTCTTTATGTAAGGAGGAAGGGAAATAGCCAGGGAAGAAGGTGCACTCGTCCACTGCTGTACCCACTGGAGATGCATTTCGCCAGGTTTCCAGTCACCGTGGGGTTTAAGTGCAGTCAGGGCTGGGAGATACATTTTCAGTGGCAATGAAGCCTGTGGTTTTCTTCTAGGTTCCATGCCATAAATTGCCCCATTACTTTGGAATCTTCTCAATTACTAACTTTAATGTTAGTTATATTTAATTATGGCTTTTGAGTA